GTAGACCTCATCTGATGTTCGGATACTTTCTCTACTTTTCTCACAAAATCTGATAGAAAACAACTTTGAGTTAGAAACATGAGTTACTCTCCTATTTCTTTTTTTTTTTTTAATTTTTCTTTTAAGTTTATTTTGAGAGAGAGAGAGCAAGCAGGAAAGGGCAGAGAGAGAGAATCCCAAGCAGGCTCCGGCTGTCAGAGTGGAGCCCGATGAGGGGCTTGAATTCAGGAATTGCGAGATCATGACCTGAGCCGAAATCAAGAGTCAGACACTTAACTGACTAAGCCCCCTATTTCTTACTTACTTCTGTGTACTCTTGGACAAATCAGTACCTCTTTGCCTCAGATGCCTCATCTGACCTCAAGGAATAAATGACCCACTCCCCTCAAATTATTTTACCCTCAATTCAGATCATAAAACAGAATAGGAAAAGAATGTATCTTGGAAAGTAAGATCACATTATTATTGGATGAGACTTGCTGAATAATTTGAGTCTGAACTGGAAGAACCAGATGCGAATGCAGAGGAAGAAAGCAGATACTTGCCATGCTCTGTCATGGAGGAAAAGCCTTTGTATTATAAAACTACAGAGACAGGGAAAGGAAAATGTTTAAAACAGCTACGAGGATTGTTTAGACTCCACTAAACTCTTAAGCCATAGCTGTGAGATTTTATTATTTTCTGTTTTGAGGGAGGGGAAGGGATGGTAGGCAGTGGAACAAAGAGCGATGGAGACTAGAATGTGCCTAATTTATACCAAATTAATCGCATAATAGGTCCAATTTTTATTTATAATACCCTGTATAAAAACTTGGTTATGGAGTAAAAGCAGCTTCGTGGGGGTCAGGAGAACTGTGTTCCAGATGTGACTCTGCCACAACTGTAGCATGAATTTGGCATGTTCTTTCAACTCCTGGGGACTTGATTTCCCATATATTTTTTAATGTTTTTATTTATTTATTTTTTTGAGAGAGAGAGAGAGAGAGACAGAGCATGAGAGGGGGAGGGGCAGAGATAGACGGAGACACAGGATCCAAAGCAGGCTCCAAGCTCCAAGCTGTCAGCAGAGCCCGATGCAGGGCTCGAACTCACAAACCATGAGATATGACCTGAGCTGAATTCAGACACTTAACGGACTGAGCCACACAGGCGCCCCAATTCCTCATCTTTCAAATAGGGTGAGGACTATTTCTTGTTTATCCTGTTTACTCAGTACTTATAGGGCTCTTAGCTACTATTAGGTATTTCTTTTAATTATGTGTATATAAATATGATGCAAATGTTTTTATTTATAAATAATGTAAATGTTATGTATGTTTACTTATATTCATTTAAAGATTAAAAATATATAGATGCGTAAATGAAAGTGTTAGTCTAGATGGTAGAAATCTCTTTTATGTTTTAAAACAAAAAAACATGTTTTTTTTAAATTTTTTAATGTTTATTTATTATTGACAGAGAGAGAGAGAGAGAGACAGAGCATGAGTGGGGGAGGGGCAGAGAGAGAGGGAGACACATAATCTGAAACAGGCTCCAGGCTCTGAGCTGTCAGCACAGAGCCCGATGTGGGGCTGGAACTTACAGACAGTAAGATCATAACCTGAGCCGAAGTCGGACACTCAACCGACTGAGCCACCCAGGTGCCCCTTAAAAAACTTTTTGATGTTTATTTATTTTTGAGAGAGATAAAGAAAGAGTGTGAGTGGGGGAGAGGCAGAGAGAGGAGACAGACTCCAAAGCAGGCTCCAGGCTCTGAACTGTGAGCATAGAGCCTGATGCGGGGCTTGAACCCACGAACCAAGAGATCATGATCTGAGCCAAAGTAGGCTGCTTAATTGACTGAGCCACCCAGGCGCCCAGAAATATTTTTTAGCTATAACATTCAAGTAGAGAATGCCTTACCAACAGGCCTATTTTCTTCTTGACTGTAAATGTTAAAAATCTTTGCAATTCCCTCCGTGGCATTAAATATAATATAGAAGAGTCAGTTAAAACTTCACAGACTTCTATTATTACCTCTCTATGACCAAGCACAAGTGGTCACTCTGGGCTTCAGTTTTTCCATTTGCAAAATGGTGACAGCTAATTAGATTGTGGTTAAGACTGGATATAAGCATGAAAACCATATACCCATATCTGCCACACAAATGTTTACTTCATTTTTGTTTCCTCTCTGTAGGAAGTAGCACAGGGCCCATGCATAGTATGTGCTCAAAACGTGTTGATTGGTGGTTGGACATTTATCACAGTACATTTATTTACCCATGCATTTTAAATCTTGTGGGAATTCCTGTTTTAGTAAAGTTATAAGCCCCCCCCCCCGCCCCCCAAATTCCCTACTCACTAAAGGATATCTTAGTAAAATAGGGACAGGGAGAAAAAGCTAATTTCACAGTAAGCATAGACAATCTCCAAGATTCTGTTCATTTAAAAATTATGGTTCCTGTAAATTGAATTTCTCATTCATGTACAAGGCTGACTTGGAATGAGTCAGAATTAGAGACAGATGATAGCTTGATACATCTTCTTTAGTTTCTTCAGAACACAGACTTCTTGAAATCCCTTCATACAATCTCCCTTAATTGGTTTGTACAATTCTTTAACATAAACCACTGAAACTGTGGGAAGAAAAGTAAATTTGGCCTCTGTTGACCCAGATACTCAGCAATACAAAAAGTGGCTTTTTTATTAAAAAAAAATATTTTAGTTCATTTGAAAGCAAACATTTTAACCCTCAAAAGAAGATTCATAGTGAGAATCAGTGCTTGAACATTTATCAACTGTTAACACCAATGAATCATAGGGGCAAAACCCAAGAGCAAGATGTGATTCCATCACTCTGATTCCCAACATTTAGCCATAAGGACAGACTTTTTTGGACGTGGAACTGTACTAGGAATTCTATTCTCTCTAAAGTAACAGCTAAGTACACTATTAATAAAATCAGTACAATGGAACTATTTGCTCTCTTTTATCCTTAACCATCTCAGAGGTGACCTGGCTACTCCTGTCTTAATCATACTGAATAAGTTTCGCTCAACTATTTAATGTGCACACTGAAGGTGAGAGCAACCCAGCATTTTGTTACATCAAAAATTTCTGCCAACATTTTGTTGTCAAAATGCCTGGTTATTAGAAAGGTAGCAATGATTAGTCACTACAAATAATATATGGGGAAGGTCAAAACAGTAGACTAATACCACCTCCAGGATAAGTACATTGCTGAAGGATGCCACTGTCTTACACCTCCTGTCTCCAAGGTCCATTTCCACGGAATATGACTAAAAACTAGTCACTCTATTCCCACATCCCCCAAGCTCCTGGTGAAACAGGAAAACAACAAGCCAGCAAACAAAGGTAATACACGGGCACATTATGGGACTGTTGCAGCGTCTCTGACCTCACACACCCCTGGTGGCATTTCTGTTCATTTGGCTCCCGCCTTTTTCTTAGATCTGTTTCTCTCCTGTTTTATTCTCAAATTGTTCTACCCCATTGTATCTAACTGACTATATTCTTTAAAAAGATAGCTTTATTTTGTATGGACTATTTTCTCTTTATCCTTCCTCCTTCCCCTCCTTCCCTAATCCTCACCTATCTCGACTCTTCCCCTTTCAAATCATCACATTAAAGAAGAAGAAAAGCTTGTAGAAAATTCCTCATTCCTACACAGTTGCGAAGTGTTACACTTCACATTTCCTAACTACATGAGATGATTTATTTTTCTCACTTGGACAAGCATTTAACAATTGGCCAAGTCCAGATCCACCTATTCTTTTCTTTTTATAATACCTTGTGGTATTTTTTTTAGGAGGGTTTTGGGGGTATTCAACTTTATGTCTCTTCCCAGTTTTCTAACCTCCTTACCTTTGCTGTCTGCTAGAATCTCACTCCCTATTCTCTTTCCTTTACTGATCAACTTTCTGACCACTTGTGGACTCACTACCGAAGTTATCAGCCTTTTGGTGGGGGGTTATGCCAAGAGTGTTGCCTCAACTTTGAATCTTTTTGTCAAGCATAAAACTGTTGAGGTGTTTTTTGTTGTTGTTACTTTTTGTCAACGTTAACTCTTAATATTTCTTTTGTCTTCTGGCATCCCCACAGATGTATCCCCCCGTGAGGATCTTTTTGTATTTATAGAAAAAAAGTTATATTTGCCTTTTTATTTTCTATTGATAACCATAGCCCCAAGATATTCTTTCACCATTTGATCAGCCTCAAACACTACTATTTTTTGTTTTAATTTGTTCTATTTGGCCTTTTGAGCCCCTCAAGAAACCCAACCACTGACAACTTTTTTTTTTAATGTAGCATAACAAATGTACCAGTGTTTACTTCCATTAGCATCCCATATCCTTTTATGTTTGTAGCTTTCTCTTCTAAATCTGTTTAACCACAAAATATGATTTGATCACCCTGCTCAAGTCCCACAAAGAATACCATCTTTCAACCTCTGTCACTTTTTTCCAGACATTCAAAGACCACACCATGCTAGATCAGATCAGAGACAAGGAAAGAGGACAGGAAGCTCCTAATCAAAGAAATAAACACAACCATCAGCACTGATAATCCTGCCTGTGTGTCTGCCTTTGCATATGTGTGTTTCATTGCATATTCATAGCACCTTTTTCTTTATGGGAGTATTTTTGAGAACAGGAGAATATTTTCCCATACCAGGACTATTTCATAAATATGTTATTAATTATTTTTTAAAAAGGACATAGAAATTACGATCAAATATCACCTAGCAGAAATCAAAGCAACAAAAAAGATCTTAAGTTCTACACATTATCACTGGCTGTCGTTCCATTCTCCCGACTCATCTACATCTTTTTAACAGTCCTTATTACTTTTAAACATCCTGCCAGATACTTGGTGTTTACCTGCCATAGCTAGCTAGCCCCCGACGGCAGTATTATTATCATTATCATCATTATTGACTCTATAGAGTTGCCTCTCCAGAGCTCCCTCCTTCCCCAGCATTTGGTATTAAAACTTACCGCTTTTACCAACTCCCCCAGCTCCCAGCATTACCACCTTGTACTCTCTGGACCCGCCTGATGCGCGGCTGGGGGAGCAGCTGGCTTCGCTTTCTACCTCCATCTTACCCGAGAGACGGGAGGAGAAAAAAGAAAGAAAAAGTCGCCCGTGTCAGGTGCTCGCTCAGATATTAAGCAACTCTAAAACTGTGTCAAAAGAAAGGTTTAGTAGGAGGTAAGAACCATCAGCGCGGGGCTGGCTGCTGGTCCTGTGCTGGAGCGGGTCTCATAGCAACCACGTCAATTGCTTCCAATAAAAATCTGGCTTTTATATCCCCCCTCCTTCCGATCCTTCACTCTCCCGTCTCCCGCGATCTCTCTCATTCTCTGTCTCTGTCTGTTTGGGTTTTTTCCCCCCTTTCCTTCCTCTGCTTCTTTCTTCCTTCCCCTTCCTCACTCTCTCCTTTCCCTCTCCTGCCCCCTGCTTGGTGGCAGTTGTTAGAAGCACACATTTGGCTACTTTCCAGCCTGGGCTGCTAGAATAGAGTGAATCTGAGACTTGGAGGATGCTACGTCTCACAGGCTGACTTCTGTAGCTATAGCGTCAAAGACATTATTTTCTTTTAATCCGAGTCAGTTAATGAAGGAAGATGTCTGTTGCTTATCCCCTTGCTTTTATCACCATCTTCTTGCAGTTTTTATTCTGGGGAAAAGAGAGGATACCAATTTAGAAGGGGGAAAACAAACAAACAAAAAACAAAACAAAACATAACTCAGGGCTCTTAAGGTCCGGTCTTTAGTGTTGTTGAAATAATAGCTGGCTAGCACGAATCATTTCAGCTGCTTGACAGCTGCAGTTCTCACATAAGGAGGTATTTGAATTAGGTCATTGTCATGTCTGGACATAGATCATCCTTGTTTACACTAGTTTATTAAGAATAATCTAAAACACAATTCTGTCAAGCAGGAAAGAGATTCTTAACATTTTTGATGACAATTATGGCAGTATTAAAGATCCTAGAAGACTCTTTTTCAGATGTCCAAACTCCTATCTCTTATTTGAATTCTTTCAAATTCTACTTTCCTCTGCTTTGTCTCTTTTTCTTTGGAAACCTTCTAAATTCTAGAGGTCTTAGGATGCTTTCAAGAATCCCTAATGGTCATAGTTAGAGCCCATTCTTCAAACAAGTGATGATGATGTTCTGCATGTTTATTGTTGACTTTCTGATTCTGAAATTGGATCATGATTAGATGCAGTGAAATGTTTGGTGTACACAGGCTTGTCTAGGAAAGGAACTATTTTTAATCAGTTCCCTATGACTTTATAGTGTATGACCACGCATTGGGCACAGAGGAGATGTTCAATGTATTTTTGTTGATAAATGGGGAGGTAGTACATAGTTACAGCCAAGACCATAGCCTCTGAAGACTCATTGCTTGTGTTCAGATCTGGACTCGGCCACTTACTAGCTGGGTGACCTTGAGTAAATGACTTCACCTCTCTGTGCCTTGGTTTATTCATCTACAAAATGGTTTATTAAATCCCTACTCTATTAACTCATTGAGTTTAATGTTTATGCAATATTTCAAACAGTGTCTACAAAATTATAAGCACTATTTAACTATATGATATGATGATGATGATGATGATGATGATTTTGAGTTAATGATGCTCCCAGCCCACTGTTTACACACACTCACCCAAAGAGAAAATCGTTTCTTCAAGTGTTTATTCCATCTGCATGCCTTCTTTACTAAAATATCTGTTCAAAATTTATGCCAAATAGACAGATATATCAAGATGTTTGTTTCCTTGTTACTGAGTTTTAATAGTTCTTTATATATTCTATATAAGCCTTTTATCAGATATATGTTCTGAAAATATTTTCCTCCATTCTATGGCTCTTCTGTAGTATCCTTCAAAGAGCAGGAGTTTTAAATTTTGATGGAGTCTAATTTGTGTTTTCCCTCTGAGCTTCAAAAGTGAATATGCCTCCTGGATGCTCCCATCAGACACCCTGAATATATCACTCTAATCCTCAATAACAAGATCAGCATTGTTCTCTGTCTTTGCAGGGAGCACTGTCACCTGCTAAGTCCTAGCTGTAGTTTAGCCTCTCTCATATCTGACCTCCATGACTGAAGAGTCCTCCAACCTGTCCTCTCTGAGTATGGTCTCTCTGCCCTCCCCCCTTCCACACTGCTGAATTCATCCTGTATACTATGTCAGGGAAATCTACCTAAATGTCGACCTGACCAACCCTATTGTACACATATTCATGAGTCAAATGCCTAAATAATGGATCCAATAGCTTAGAGTGGCACATAGGGACACAAAGCATTTATTCCACTCTTGTGTCCTCACACTCCATAGAACAGAGTCAGGCAGAGTGGGCTACTTGCCTCTCTTCCAACAAAACAGTCATTTCCATAATTGGATCTAATAAAAAACGGTAGCTTTAGTATAATTACCCTTTAATTGATTCATTGAAACTTTATTCCTCCATGAAAAGAGGTATGTAAACAGTAGCATTTAGCTTCAAGGTCTTTCTGGGTTTTGTTTCTACTTCTGGTACAAAATTCTTATGACCTTGAGCAAATCACTTGACCCTCTGGCTATCTGTTCCACCATCTGTTACTCTGTTTTCCATGTCAGCCACTCTGATTTGGTGGTAAAACATAGGGACTGTCATGCCAGCTGTGTCCTTGGTGTTCTCTTTTAAATTACTTTAATATTGGTTAAGAGAAAAGGATACATGAAAATGTCCCTTAACAGTAAATGGATGGGTGACTTGTCAAATACCAATGGGCATTGTGAGAGGGAAATTTAGTGCATTAGTTTCTCCTCAGTGTCTACGCATCTGTCCATATTCCTCAAATGGAAGTCAGCAAGATATTTCCCTATTTACATGGGAGATGATAAACATGAGGTACAGGGGGACTTCCCTAGTTATAAAGCTCTCTTTGTCTACCTCTTCTTTGAAATTCAAAGGTACTCCACTCTGGTGCCTTCTCTTGAGTTACTAAGGGCCACAATACCTCCTGATTGATGTTTGAATTTTGGAGCATCCTAATGCTACTGATTTTCAGTTTTAGTTAGTGAACTTTTGTGAATCTGCATGCCTGGTTCCTTGGCTGGTGCACCCAAAAGTCTAAGGGCATGTATGTGGGTATGTGTGTACATGGCAGAGATGAGGGGGAAGAGGGAAGAAGAGAGAAAGAAAGGGGAAGACACAGGGGAGGGATGAAGAAAGAGAAAGGTATTTTCCAAGTGTATAAATGGTAATTGAAATATAATAATTAAGCAAGTAAAGTCAGTACGTGGCAGATTACTTTGCTATATAAAATTATTCAATGGAAAATTATTAAATGATTAAAGTCTGTATTTGCTTCCTGTAACCCACCCTGGCACTTGCCATCCTTTTAGAATGTCACATGATTCCCACTGAGTGTTCATGTCCTTTAGACGAAGACCCAGGTGTTCCATGTTGTTTCAGAGCCACTTGACTCCCTCAGGAAGATCAAAGTACATGCCACCTCCTTTCTGTCACTGGCTGCTCACCTTTCAAGTCCTGAGAGGACAAGCAATTCCTTCTGAAGGATTGCATTAACCTACTTACATGGATATCTTTCTAAAGTCCTTTAGGGACATCTAAGACATCCAGTCACTGTGGACGACATCCTACTTCATTCTAGGGGGAAGTGAGGCACATTCAGAGTTCCTTTCTTATTTATCTAGTCACTTAAAAGCAGAGCTCCTGGGGGCGCCTGGGTGGCGCAGTCGGTTAAGCGTCCGACTTCAGCCAGGTCACGATCTCGCGGTCCGTGAGTTCGAGCCCCGCGTCGGGCTCTGGGCTGATGGCTCAGAGCCTGGAGCCTGTTTCCGATTCTGTGTCTCCCTCTCTCTCTGCCCCTCCCCCGTTCATGCTCTGTCTCTCTCTGTCCCAAAAATAAATAAACGTTGAAAAAAAAAAAATTTAAAAAAAAAAAAAAAAAAAGCAGAGCTCCTGACGCCATTGTCAGCAAAGCCACTCTTCCCTTTGTTAGAGTATTTATGATATTTATTACAATGATTTATTTACATTCTATTTCACTTTACTCACAAGCGGTGACCCTGCCACAATATTCATCTTTATCTCTCCAGAGTTTAGCACAGTGCCTGGTGTGTACTACCTGACAAGACATTTTTATTAAATGAAGGAATTAATTGTGCCAACTGGGTGACTGTCTATTGCTCCATTAATTAAATTAACTTTCCAAAGTGTATTATTTACCATTTGTATCCTAATGAAAAGAGAAGTCATGGACGGAAGAAATAGCAACTTAGTTGATAACCTCTGGGTAAATTCAGGTTTGGCAGGCACATTCTCACTGTGAAATATAAGACTATTGGAAACCAGAAGATAGCACAACTGCTCAGGACAAACAAACAAACAAACAAAGCTGGCAACATCAAGTGGAAAACAGCTAATTTTGCAGATGGAAGGCAGAGTTCCATCTGCACAGCATAGACCTTTGTATCACATTGACCTCCTCATAATCATATTCAGTAAAATTCACCTTAGGTGTTAATAAGTCTTGGGGAATAATTCAACACTTTTCCTAAAGGGTTATTAAGGTTAAAATATCTGAAAGCAGGGCTCTTATATGTGATTTAAATAACCTGCACTCTTTCATTTATTCATTCTATCATGGATTCATTCTTTAAATATAGATTAATTTGCTTCTTCTCAAAATCATTCATTCAACTGCATTAGGGTTTTTAGAAAAAATAAGGAAAATCACAATGTAGTCCATGAGTCCAAAGTGTTTATACCCTCATGTAGGAGAGACACCTGCATACCAGTTTCTGGAATAAGTCAGAATGTGGCAGGTAATTGAATAGATAAATGAACAGAGTCTGATAGGAACATGGGGGAAGGAGAGAATGATTCAAATAAAAAAAAAAACAAGGTGGGGTGTCAAGGAAGGGGGAGTAACTTGGACTAGATTTAAAATAGGTCTTAGAATGGAAGAAATAACAAAAACAGAGGTGGCCAAAGATTAGAGAGAACAGTGGTGACTTGCATATTAATGCTATCTGGTTGATACGGAAGAACATAAGAACATGATACAACAGCTGGA